AAGCCACCAAGGGACGGTGGTGCATGGCAAACTGGGAGTTAGACGCACATTGTATACATACTAGTATTTATAATTTGATTAAAATACCTCGTACCTGATGAAGAGGGGTTACCATACATTGTATTTTGACTCCAGGCTGCACCAAGGGAACATGTCATACACAATTTACTTGTGAAAAGAACACTGGAAAAAAAAGTGCTTTAAAAAAGCCAATACGTGCAGAATATCAACCGTCAAGTAGCTGAATATGATTAATTTTACGTTAAATGAAAAGACTTTAAACTATATTTCATCTGTAATGCTAATAGCACACTTAAACTTTAAATCTAGTACAGAAATGAACTCCAATAAAGCATGTGCATTATTTAACGTTACGTTCATTTTTAACGACGTTTTTCTCACAATAACTTTAAACCTCCATGATAGAAAGGAAGGATATAGGGTATCCATACATGACACAAAATCAGAACATGTACAGCAAAAAACACAATTCTAGTTCTTACCGTTAGCCAAACTAGTTTAAACACAACAGTTTTACTATTTTTATTGTCGTTCTTTTTCTCCATTTTAAATTAACTTATATAATCGCATTTACTCTCATCAACTCAATCTTAGTTGATCTGCACTGATGTTTAAACTTGTCCGAGATACATATTAAGCTAAGACGAGGAGCATATACGCTTCCGTATATATTTGCTGTCGTTATGTTCTTACATGAAACACGTATCTACTGTACAAAAAGAACGCATCAAATAATTGTAAATAATTTTATAATAGGAAGACTAATGGCCAATTTCCCCCCTGAATTTTATTCACACCATGGCCATTTTAAGCTCACCAATTGGCAAAGTGAGCTTTTCTAATAACTTGGCGTCCGTCGTCGTCGTCGTCGTCTGTTGCGTCCGTCGTCCGTCGTCGTCCGTTAACCTTTATAAAAATCTTCTCCTCTAAAACTACTTGGCCAAATTTAAACTAACTTGGCCACAATCATTATTGGGGTATCTAGTTTGAAAAATGTGTTCGATGACTGAAATAGAACATAGGAGAGAAATGCAAGTTTTTGTCTATTATTTCGTAAACCGTTATCAATAGAGAAAATCTGACATGAGCAAAAATGTTCAGAATGTTGAGCTCTGTTGTCCATACATTTCAAGATTGTCAGGCGACTTCTTATAGGAGTTATTGCCCTTAAATGACAAATTTTACCATTTTTATTTCATTTTTGCCTATTATCTTGAAAACTATAAAAGATACAGAGAAACATTAAAATTCAAAAATGATCAGCAAGAAAAGTTCTACAAATAAGTTCAATTGTCGAAATCGTCAGCCGACTCCTTATTAGAGTTATTGCCCTTGGATGATGATTTATACATTTTTTTGCGTTTTTGCCTTACAAATGTACATCTTTAAAATTATAACAGATAGATAGAAACTTTGATATGCAAAAATGATCAGCAAGACAATATCTACAATTAACAATATTGAGGAAATCGTCCGACGTCGCCTTGGAATTATTGCCCTTTAATGAAGATTTTTATCATTTTTGGGGGGTTTTGATTTACATGATAAAAATTATAATAGATAAATAGACACTTTAAATCTCAAAAATGACCGATAAGGCAAGATCTACTAACGAGTCACTTTCCTGCCCTCTTTTGTGTTTTGAGCAAAAACTAGAGAAGATGGAGAGAAACTGTTTTTTTTTAAGCAGACTAAATGATCAGCAATACAAGTCCAACAAAACAGAGATTTTTGTCATGAATTCTATTCTCGTCTTCTATGTTGGAGAGTGTCCTTTGTTGAATATGCACATAGACCTAGGTTAGCGGCACAGGCTCTTTAGAGCCTCTAGTTAAACAGTATATCAATATGTAACTAAATTCTTAGCACACGTATCGCAACCCAATGTATGTTCTCTATGGTTCTAACAATATAATGGGTAATTCTTAAACAGATTACAAAACTATAAACGCCTAAAGGGTCTGCAAATAGTCCAAACCGGAAAATTTTTGAAAGATGTTGGCAACGTTTAAGTAGTTATCGTCAAAATGAATAAACAAAAATAAAATAGTTAACCAAACCAAAACTCTTGGTTTATTTCAAACCAGGGCCATTTACAAAAAGTCTATCATTCTTAAAGTTTACTTAGATTCATAGTAAAGTGTACATTCTAAGGGTTTTACAATATGATCGCTTAATTCCAAACGTATCACCAACTTATAAACGCCTAGAAAGATAGCTCCAAATCGCGATTTTTGCAAATTTTTGCTCTTTAGTATTTATTCCTAAAACGTACAAGAAGATCATCGTTAACCAAATCCAAAATTGTGTTAGAAGTAAACATATTCCATGTCTTTCACTAATTCATTTTGGCTATCGACGGCCTTCGATGCAAAATTTGACAAAAACATGTAAAAGCAAATTTGTATCTTCAACAGCATGCAACATGTAACGCTGAACTAAACACTAAACTCCGAAACATATAAATGAACTAAAATTACAAAAGATATTTTAGATATACAATTTAAACTTTTTAATATAACATTTCAAGTATGATAAAGATATGAAAAAAACATTTAGGACCCTGCGATTGAAAATAAAAGATATTGAAAATTAGGCTCTGACCCTTTGCAATTTTGTATTACAATGCCTTCAACAGAAACATATAGCACTGAATATATAGTATTTTGAATCCAGGGGAATATGTAAAACATTGTTACAATATAAAACGTCATCTTCCATTTGCAATGTGCAGACCAATTTTAGATTTTGAGTGAAATAAGTCCAGGGAAAATTGGTCTCGTCACTTTCAAAGACCCCCCTACCTTTTTATTCCTAAAAATTGGAAGAAAGCCACATGTTTCTTAAGTGCCTGTGCTTATGGCTATTTCTGTGGTTGACCCAACATGCTGCCAACAATTAAGTTTCGATGCATTACTGCTTGAAAAAGAAATGGTCTAAGTTCACGGTTATGAATGATTATCAAACTATCGTTATTGCCATCACGCAAAGTCAAAACGAACAAAATAAACCACCAATTATTGAGGCAAAATAATAGAAAATGATGTAACTCAACTAGTCGCACAACCTTATGTTTTGTGATTTGTGACTTAATAAAAAAAAGTCGTAGCAATTTTATCACACATATTTTATTTTTTGATATAAGTCAAGTAAGGCGGGAAGTACAATAATGTTCCGAGCATCGTGATAGACATCTTCTTTTGGACTGCTTCCTGGTGACTCATAAGATGGCCTCCTAAACCTCGACTAGGAGTGTGAACGTTTTTTTTAAATAATCTAAATAGCGTATACATATTACCGTCATAAATGCTAAGTTTGAATGTTCGTGTAATATTCGGGGAATGGTCATTATTTATCAGCTGAGGGGGTCGGTTCAAATTTTTCACATAAAATTTGTTGTTGGCAACCCCTCCCCCCCAAAAAAATCATTCTTAAAAACCGCAAAATGACCCCCCCTCCCCTCCCTAACAACATAGTTTCAAAAGTTTGACTACCCCCAAAAAAAAATCCCCATCAATTAACAGTTGTGAGAAGTAGATGACTACCAGCTACATACTAACAGGCTTTGAGAAATCCTGAGTATAACAAAGAGTTTTTCTTCTTGTTTTTTTTTTTTTGTCAAATAAGAATATCTGACACTTGCATGTAGAAAAATTGACAAAATAACCTTTTAAATGAGAAAAAAAAATATTGCAAATTAACTTGAGCCCTCACGTACAGAATGACGTCATACCTATACATATTGTTCCTGATTTTGAAAATGCTAATGTTTAATAAGTAAAGCTATTAAAGTCACTATAAACCAAATTTGTTTCTATACATGAGCATGTACAATGAAAAATGAATGGGATGACGAAGAAAGAAAAAAAGAGAAATTTCTTTTTCCAATTTACATTATTTTACTGCAACCTATAATTCTACAAATTTAATATAGATATAAACTTCCAATAATGATTTTTACTCTTTATTATGAATCAGAACTTTTTATAAGGGGGGGAGCACTGACTGACCTAAGGGTAGGCCCGCTTCAGTCATGCTTCAGTGATTCCCTATATAAGCAACCAAATTTTACCCACAAAAGAGGGGGCCGGGCCACCAGTCCCCCCCCCTCCACCCCACACCCCCACCCCACCCCCCGGATCCGCCTATGGAATGAATGTACATTTGCTGACACAGTATAATTTGAAAATGAAAAAAAGATTACAAAAAAGTCAGTATTCCAATATAGGAAGTGTAAATGGAATAACACATTGCAAATTTTACTGATTTTATGGTTCATTAAATACGTACAAGATTTATTTGAGATAAAGAAATATATATTCAAGTCAGGAACCTCTGGTCTTTGTAAGTCTTGTATATTTTGTATATTTTTAAAATTTTGGTTCATTTAGATGTTTTAGAGTTTAGTGTGATTTTCTCTGAACTAAAAATGTACATTTGGTTTAGGGGCCATCTGAAGCCCGCCTCGGGTGCATGCTTTTCTCACTGTGTTGAAGACCCATTGTTGGCCTTAGGCTGTTTTCTGCTCTTTGGTTGGGTTGTTGTTTCTTTGAAACATTCCCTCTTTCAATTCTCAATTTTGTTATAATATTTCAACGTGAAAATGTTAAATTAAATAATATATTTATAGGGAAGGCAAAGAAATTTTGATATATACCCATTTTAACTGCAAGTAAACTGTACAGTTAGCTAAGCATTCCCAAGGATCAAAACAGTTTTCATTTTAGCAATATCTCAAAAAATAAATAATTTAGAGCGTTTTCAAGGAAGGTACCCTCAGGCGTTTTTTTCAATATTTCGTGCAAAAAATGTTAAGGTCTGCTTATCATAAAAATAAATCTTGAAAATTAAATATTACCTTTTTAATGAACATCAACTGTTTCAACTTAATGTATGGGGACCTGTGCCAAAGTTTTTAACATAAAATATATAAAAACAGCAATGTAAATGTCTTAAATTGAACAAAATCAAAGAAAAGATAACTCTCGTTTTTTAATTTGTCAAAATTTCACACTTATATGTCACTAAAATGTCCAGAAATTTTTGAACTGCAACAAAATTCACAATTGAATGTTAGATTTATTCCTATGTACATGTCTTAGTCTGAATATGAACTACTTCTGGCAATATTCCTCAATTCTGTGTGATATCCTGAAAATACAAAAGAAAAATAACATGAAAATTAAGCAAATATTATTATCATGCAAATATGTGAAATAAAGGAATTCTTATATTTTTGTTTTGTTTGATCAATGAAATGCAAGTGTTATTGAATATGAATTTGTTATAACTCATACTTAGAGTTCTCAAAACAACATTATAATGTTATGAAAAATTAAAATAATGAATAAAATTGAAAATTAAAATGTCAGGTATTGATCCTAAATAATGATAGTTGTCATTTTTTTTCAAACTCAAATGTTTTTTTAAGGAATTGAAAAAATAATTTTTAAAATACACTTTTCATTTGAATAATTATAACCAATTATTAGTCATTACTATGTTGAAGTGTTAGTTATAATGTATTAGTAATAATGTAACAAACAACAAAGTTAAAAAATCATAAGATATCAACATTTGTAAGAGTGTATTTACCATGTTTTCAGAAAACAAGAAAACAAGATAATTCTTTGAACAATTCATGCAAATCAATGTCAGTGTCATAATAGATTTGGAATTGTAACAGAACCGGAACAATAACAAAACAAAAACAGTAACGTAACATAGCTGGAACAGTAACAAAACTGGAACTGGAACTGGAACAGTTGTCTCACCGCCTCAGGAAGAATTTCCAGATTGCCATCTCTGTACTCTTGCTTCAGTTTGTAGGTATAAATGGCTGTGGCACTGCTAATAGTTGCAGTTGATTCATCAAGGTCACAATCATAAACAATGTTATAAAATTCTGGGAATCCTTTTACGACACTTAAAACTCTACCATTCCATTTTCCTTCCTTAAATGTATGAAGAACTTTTTTTCCAACAAATAATGGAACATCTCTAGCAACTCTCTCCTCAGATGGACCTTCAGTGGCATCCACTATCAACTTTATTACATTACTCTTCAGTTTCTCAAGTGATAACGCTTTACCTTTCTCGGAGACAAAATACAATTTCTAATCCACTACAACTTGTTTCAGGACTTTCTGCCTGAATCTTATTTGAGATATCAAGGCTTTCCTTTTCTCTGTAACCGATGTTATTTCATTTAGTATATCATCAACTTCATCTGGTCTTTGCCACAAACCATAGTAAATTACATCACTTGTATGCTTAGTTTTAGTTTTTATTGCAGCTTTTTGTTTTCTTTCCAAGGCAATTTGTTTTTCTCTTAGTTTTTCTTTACGTTTGTTTTCAATTTCTTTCAGTCGCTCCTGATATTTTGTCCTTATTTGCCTACCTTCCTTAATACTATATTCTAACATTCTGTTCCTTTCATCAACAGGTAACACCTCTAACCAATCAGAAGTTTTATTAAAAACAAACATCAGGAAGGCCTCGTTACAAATTGTTGATGCGTTTGGCCTGTATCGCAAGAAAAAGTCAAGTATACCAAAAACACGCTCTGGTATTTTGTTGTGAGGTATTACTGACTTTGTCTGATCTCTGATGTCTTCTGTAGGGCTGAAGTATGCTCCCCTGGCAATTGCTCCTTCATTGCTTTAGCCAAGACTTGATGCAGTCCTTTGAAAGCAAGTTGTGCAAATGCACATGCTTTGTCATCTATTCCTTCATTGGCTTGCACTAGCTTTTCCAACATCTTGTCCTTTTCTACAAGTTCCTTTGGGAAAGGAAATTCTTCGCCAGTAATGAAATCTGTGGAGTCCTTACTCATTCTGTCTAAATATGTTAACAGTGAAAGGTAGTTGGTATTCATATCTAACACATGCATGTTACTTTCTATGAGCCTCCATAAAGGTGCAGTTATCAATTTTGAAATCAGACCAAGTACTTTACAACAAGCCAAAATATACTGTTTTTTAACAAGTTGTAAGGTTAACTTATGAAGTTTATTGTTAGCTCCGTGTACGATTTCAAAAAATGCTTTAATTCTTTCGTGCTGATAGAAGGCAATTTGTCCCATAAGAAAGATTATATTGAACCTGTTTCCCCTGAAATCTACAAACATGACATTTTCATTTTCTCTTTGACAATATGTTTTACATGCGCTATAGCAGCCACTCTTTTCATCAACTCCTCGTCCAAAACATTTCCCACAGAAACGTAAGAAAGATATTGTTTTTGCATCAAAGGCATATATTTGTATATCAGGTCTGTCCTCATCATCAGACGTTTCTGGAATAACTGTTTCTTTTTCTTGCATCCTTTCATTCTGCAAAATTAACCAATAAATGGAGACCACAAAAAAAAAATTATTTACTTTAACTGTAGAGGTTCGTTCTCCAATTGTCAATTCATTCCAATTTTGTAAAAATGTAGGCATTATCTCTGTTCGATAATTTTGTAACAGTTCTGTGAATGCTATATTTGTCTGGGCCCTGTCAGACATAAAATTTCTGATGTTTGAAAGTATACTATGTCCATGTGATGTTATGTCATTGTTTCTATACGTTTCACAAATGTCTGATATGTCATCTAAAATATTTTCAAACATATACAAAGTTGTGCTGGCAGCCTTATCATGCATATCCCGGAGTCCTAAAAAGTACACTTGTTTGTTATCATCACTTAATAAAAATGTCTGGTATGTTTTACCAAATTTCCGTGTTTCGTCCCCATACAAACATGTATCCTGCTGTGCACCAACTGTTAATCCAAGTTGTTTTTGACCAATAGCAATTTTTTCAACGATGATATTGTCAACTGTTTTTCTTGTAGGTACAGCATTCGGTGTTCTATTGGCAAGTTTAAGGACCTCCTTAATAACTGGCCCAACATTATTGGAAGACACATTGAAATTTGTTATGTTCATAATGCACTGTCTTGTATCTGGTGTATAGGACTTTTTGACAGGATCGAAAAGAATAATTTCCTCATGATCAAGTAGCAGTGAATGTAAATAATCTCTCTCCTCAGTCGCAGTTTGTAACTGTACTTTAAGATTAAGTAATGGATCAGGTTGATCTAACAATTGTAATTTATTATTAGGTCTTTCCACTTTTCTGTGGAAAGACCTATTGTATTTGTTCTGATTATTAGGTCTTTCCAGTTTTCTGTGGAAAGACCTATTGTATTTGTTCTGGTTATTATTATTATTATTTTCTTCCGCCAAATTTTGTTCTCGCGTAACATTTTTGTTTCGCAATATGTCGCTAAGATATTTCTTTTATAATATCATACAGTTTATGCGCTTTTTATTTTCACCCATTGTAAGCCGAACAATTTTCTTTGTAAGAGTTATCTCCCCGAACACTGTTTTCCTTGTGACTGCATCTCCTCCGTAACCGCAAAAGGAAGCGACAAATTTATTTTATAAAATTGCTCGTTATATCTTTTGCATGATTTGTCCTATTTTGACCGAAGCGATATGAACACTTCATATGAGAGTTATTTCCCCTTATGCATGTGATATAAGTGATATGCATTTCTATCTTGTAAACCATAAGTGATAGAGACCAAGGATCTTTTGATTTGAGGTTCTTGATCCAAAAAAAAAGAAAATTAGGTCAAGGTCAGAGGTCTAGGTCATATTTTAAATTTTGATTTTGGCTTATTTTCAACGTAATTCAAAAACCGACCGTATAAGATATCGACAACATATTTTTACTAAATTGTAAGTTGCGACATGTCGTAACACATGAATTTTGGTTGAAAGGGTACGCTAACATTAAATTGGAGTTTTCTCCCCTATTATATTAAAAATTAGGCATATAGTGATATAACTCATTAACCATATATAATTAAGACCTATGGTCTTTTGATTTGAAGCCCTTGGTTTATGACCTTGAAATTGAACGCAAGGTCATAGGTAAAATTGACGTTCTAGATTTTGACCTTTGCTTTTACTTCATATGTTTACATGATAAAGCCATGGGACTTTTTGCATTACGATGCAAGACACTTGACCATGGAAAAGCCAACCGGAATGGACCTTGTGTAAACCGGAAGTAGCTATTGTTTGTACTTATTTAATGTAAAAGTATATTGAACAATATTTTTTTGGAATCAGTATCAAGTAAACTATCAAATAAAACCAGAAGTGACATATTTCAAATCGGAAGTAACAATTTATCTCCCTTATTTAGAAAAAAATGTATAGAAACCATATATTTTTGGAATCAGTGTACAATAAGCTATCATTTGACGCTGGATATGATATTTCAAACTGAATTTTCATAGTTTTATATCAAAATTGATCTTTATGGGTGGAAAGACCTTCAATTGTTCTCTGAACAATTGGTTTTTAATTATTATTTTCTTCCGCCAAATTTTGTTCTCGCGTAAAATTTTTGTTTCGCAAGATGTCGCTTAGATATTTCTTATATAGTATCATACAGTTTATGCGCTTTTTATTTTCACCCATTCAAAGCCGAACAATTTTCTTTGTATGAGTTACCTCCCCGAACACTGTTTTCCTTGTGACTGCATCTCCTCTGTAACCGTAAAAGAAAGCCACAAATTTATTTTATAAAATTGCTTGTTATATCCTTTGCATGATTTGTCCTATTTTGACCGAAGCGATATGAATATTCCATATGAGAGTTATTTCCCCTTATGCATTTGATATAAGTGATATGCATTTCTATCTCGTAAACCATAAGTGATAGAGACCTAGGATCTTTTGATTTGAGGTCCTTGATCCAAAAATAAGAAAATTAGGTCAAGGTCAGAGGTCAAGGTCATATTTTAAATTTTGATTTTGGCTTATTTTCAATTCTTTTCAAAAACCGTATAAGATATCGACAACATATTTTTATTAAATTGTAAGTTGCAACATGTCATAACACATAATTTTTGTTAAAAGGGTACGCTAACATTAAATTGGAGTTTTCTCCCTTCTTTTATTAACAGTTAATCATATAGTGATATAACTCATTAACCATATATAATTAAGACCTATAGTCTTTTGATTTGAAGCCCTTGGTTTATGACCTTGAAATTGAGCTCAAGGTCATAGGTAAAATTGATGTTCTAGATTTTGACCTTTGCTTTTACCTCATATGTATACATGATAAAGCCATGGGACTTTTTGCATTACGTGGCAATCCACTTGACTATGGAAAAGCCAACCGGAAGTGACCTAGTGTAAACCGGAAGTAGCTATTTTTTGTACTTATTTAACGTAAAAGTATATTGAACCATATATTTTTGGAATCAGTATCAAGTAAGCTATCAAATAAAACTGGAAGTAACATTTTTCAAACCGGAAGTAACAATTTATCTCCCTTATTTAGAAAAAAAATGTATAGAAACCATATATTTTTGGAATCAGTGTACAATAAGCTATCATTTTACGCTGGATATGATATATCTAACTGAGTTTTAATATTTCAATATCAAAATTGATCTTTATGGGTGGAAAGACCTTCAATTGTTCTCTCAACAATTGGTTTTTAATTTAGTTCTAAGACTGTTCTTTCTTCCTTTTCTAACTGGTACAAAAGTTTTGAATTATTTTGTTTTAGCACTTCAATTTCACGAAGGCAATTTGAAACTTTATTCTTTTCTGAAATCAGAGTTTTTTTTTAAGTTTTTTTGTTTCTGTGTTTCTTTAATGATACTGCTTCGTTCAAGTTTTCGGCGTAGTAAGATATTTTCATAAAATATAAGTTGTTTTGATTTTTTTATGACCTTCAGTTGTTCTAACAGTTTTTCATTTTCATTTTGTATACTTTTGATGTTTTTTGTGAAACCCTTTTGGTTTCTAGTCTTAACCTTTTGGTCTGTGATCGCAGTTCTTCAGATTGCGTTTTCTTTAAACTGAGAAGTTCTCGTTTGTGTTTGGACTCATTTTCTTTTATTTTTACTGCATGTTCAGATTTGATAATAACTACCATTTCAACAGATTTCTTTTGTATTTCAGACATTTCTGTCGCCAAAGATGTGCATGTTTCTTTATACGAATAAAGTTCATCTTTATATAGTTTTCCTTTTGATGCAGTTGAAGTACTTGTAGCCACCGGTATTGAAAACACCTCCTTTTCAAATTCTTCTTTTTGTTTTCCTCGTTTTCCTTTAAGTTTTTCTTTATACCGATGTAATTTTGAAATCAAGGCTGCTTTATTTATTTGGGTTTTGTTGACATCGGAACATTCAGCAAAGTTGCTTATAAGAAAGTCACTATCTGTTTGCAATTTACTTCTATTGAATATGTCTATGGCTAATTTTATAGTTATACTCATCTTGTTCCTCAAATGATTGTATCTAAATTTTTACAGTCATTATAACAATCAAATATTTACAATATGTACAGGAAGGGTAAAAGAATTCAATAATTTGTCGGTAAACCACATGCTCTCTTCAACGCTTTCATCAGCGTTAAATATTGATGTTCCTCGATCTTGTTATCTTTCCATAGATCTTTCAGTATGTTAGATATTTTATTTTTAATATATTCAGACAATTTAATAGTAAGGTCAAATTTCCAATTAGACAAATTATATTTTTTTAAAAATATGAGAAGTCGATCTTTTAGAATTAGAATTTTGTTAGGCAAAATGTCTCTAAGAAACTGATGTGTCACTCTCAGGTCATCTCTACAGATCTCACAATAAAAATAGTCAATTATATTTACCGCTTCGTTTAAAATAATCTCAGGTATCTCCTCAACATGATTATTACAAGTTTGAGTACTTCTGGTCTGTGTTTGAGTTTGTGTTCCAATACTTCTCTGTGACGTGTGTCTTTTAACAGTGTCGAAATCTTTGACTTTGAGTCGGAGACTGCATTGATTTATATTTAAAAACTGCAACTGAAATAAAATGGATTTCAGAATGATTGAACAGGTAATGTTATAACCATGAAAAGACACAGTGGCATAGCATCATTATCATACTTATTCATACTATTAATCATAGCAATTAGCATGCAAAAGTCAGATAACTTTATCATGCAAATTTCCCATTTCTTTTTCAATTAACTCAGTATCACATTATTTGAAAAGGTATATGATAGTTAAATAATGTTACTTTTTTCTTTTTTTTAATTTGTTATCATTCACCACCTGATAAGTTACTCAGCGGTAAAGTTTCCCATATTAAAAGCTTTGTTTACATTTTGTTATTCCTTTCAACTGGGCGCTGCCATATTGAATCGAAAACGAGGCAAATATTTTTGATTTTACCAGGTTTCAAATATATCACTTTAATTATATATACGGGGTTAAAGTGATAAAAAAATATAGTGAATAAATAGAAAAATGAATAATTTTGAATAATTTCATACTTACATTTGCGTATTTCAGTTCCTTATACAAGTTTTTCAAAATTTGACGCTCCAATTACATGTGGTTTCTTATTCTCAAAACTGGTGCCATCAAGTATGATTTTTACGCTTTCCGTAATAATTTATACTAAAGATCCGAAAGATCCCGAACATAAAAATGCAATAGTGTTGACACATTTCAACGTAGTGTATTCCCCCTTTTCAAAATGAAGTTGAAGAAAATTACCGAGAAGTTCCGGACATATTAAACGATGTCAAACGGAGTTATCTCCCATGTGATTTACCGTTACTTTACTTTACACGATTATCTCACCTGGATAATTTTCAGAATTGATGCCATGAAGTCTCGCTTTTCTCGTTCTCTGAATTTCTCTTCACTAGTGGTATCTTGAATATCAAATCTCACAAAAACAAAAGGCTTCTGATGTCTTCTCATTTCTATGTACTCATATAAGAGAACCATTAATGAAATCGTGTGTGGTGTGACCTGCTCCTTCGGTGTTTTTTTTTACCAAAATGTCCAAATATAAGCAAGTCTTTCTGATAATCTGATGCATTTGACATTTTGTCTGTATACTACTGTAAAGCTTTAAGATAAAAGTAATAATGCAATCGTTTGTTTTATCTTGAAATCACCGATTTACAGTACAAATAAAAGTGTATAAATAAGCTTCGATAGTTTGGTAAGCATACTTTATTAGCCACATTCTGTATGTGCCTGTCCCAAGTCAGAAGCCATAACTCAGTAATTGTCGTTTGATGCTGCATTTCATATTTGTTTTTCGTTTATTGTTTTGTACATAAATCAGGCCGTTAGTTTTCTTGTTTGAATTGTGTTCATGGCTTTTATAGCTTTGCTATGCGGTATAGGTTTTGCTCGTTGTTGAAGGCCGTATGGTGACCTATCAGATCTGTACTTTGTGTCTTTCTTGTTATGGGGGATGTATAAATTCCCTGCCAAGTATGATCTGTGTTTTTGTTAGCTGTTATTCTGTTTTGTATCGATCTGATGAGTTAAGATCTTCTCAACTGAATTTTAGTTGGTTGTACTGTTACACCATTGCCCCAGGTTTGGGGAGGGTTTGGCGCCAGAAAACAAGTTCAACCCGTTGAAGGCCGTACGGTCACCTATAGTTGTTAACTTCTACGTCATTTGGTCTCTGGTGGAGAGTTTTCTCATTGGCAATCATACCACATCTTCTTATTCTTATATTTATGTCTGTTCAGTTTTAGTATAAACCCTGCAACTGGTACTATCTTCAGGGAATAATCAATTATAAAGTAATTTATCAATTACAATTTAGATATTACAACATCATTCAATTGTGGTCTAAATCATATGTGTTTTTCTTAATACTATCTTTTTTATTGTAACTTGCTGTAGAAGAAAAGATAAAGGTTGTCTTACAAGGAATACGAAAGAACATGCATCCCTCACAGATGCTAGTGTATTGCTGAAGACAATTTCTGTGGTTTGGGGTGCTGTCTCATTGAAGTATTCCTCACACCTATTTATGTTCAATTCAATTCGTTTTTTTAGATTTTATTTCATGCAATTTTTACATAATTTGAAATTGAATTACTTCTAGCTATGTTTCTCAAATGACCACAAAGTAGTAAGGAATTTTCAAAGATGACATTCAATTCTTTTTTCCGGCCAGGTTTGGTTCAGGTTGGCTTCCTTTCAGAGAAAAAGGTTGCAATGTGATTTCCTTGAGTGCAATGCCACCATGTATGATATCCCTACAAAACATAAGAGGAATTGTTGTCCAGGGTTTCCTTATTTTCATTGCTATAAAGTCTTAAAAAAGACTTTTCCTTACAATCATTAGAATTTACTTTTTCAATTTCACTTATCACAACAGTTTTTGGAAAGAAGATGAAACTGTCAAAGTTTAGAGACAAACAGTTAGGACTATAAGTAATCCTGATAGCTCTCACTGCTCCTTTTGGTCAGGTTTGCTAATAAAGTAGGGTTATCAATTTTATAAATGCATAAACTTTTTACCCCACTCATCCCCCCTTTTATGATAGTGGTTGCATCTTTTAAACAAGTTCTTTAACAGGATTAAAATTATGTCAAGGATTTGATAGGATTTGTACAACACTATATATATATATATGTATAACATTGCTGACAAACTATAAATTCTATATATAAACTTTATTTGTTATGGTTCCTGTTGTACCTGGAAATCGTATTTAGCAGAATTTAAACTACCAAACATTTTTGACATTTGGCGGGTAATTTTGTATCGTTTACATTAGAGACAACCCTCACTTCCGGTGCAAAGTAAACAACTGTGCCGACCTCAAATGAGCAGCAAACTGAGAAAATACATAGCCCAACAACCACAAATCCCAAAAGGATTCAGGTATAGAACACCTATATTAATATCAGACAGTAAAGGTTATACAATTCGAAACGCCTGTGCACAAACGAATTTCCCATCGAATCGTGGTGTAAAGCAGGTGCACGTACATCAGAACTCGTTGATATTATCCAAGAACGTATAGAAAAAGCAATAAAACGCCATAATCAGATCGTAATATATCTATGGTCGGGAACCTGTGATTTGACCATCAAAAAAGGCAAATATATATATCTTAGAAACAGAGACAACAATACCATCGAACAAATAGAAAAACAATACATCAGAGCCATTAAAATAGTAGGAAAATACCCAGCAGCAGAGATTAAACTTATTGACTGTCCAATATTGTCAATTGTGAGCTATAACAAATACAAAGGCCACAACAATCCAGAAACATTTAAAACAGATGATTTTCAAATAACAAGGCAAATTAAACACCTAAACACCAAAATCATCGAAATAAATAACAGGCTGAACAAGAACACGATCAACATCAGCAAATACTTCTTTCGAGGCAGAAAAAGTAAAAAAAGCAGTACACGTAGGTCCGTCAAGATTACAATTAACAAGAGAGACGGAGTACATCCAGGACAACTCCTAAGCCTAGTCATTGCCAAACAAATATTGATAGACACATACAGTGAGTGTTACCATATAACACAGGAATCTGAACTTGTTACACTTAGGGTGGAGGAAGAAGAACTCCTAACTCTTTTCTAAGAGCACCTACCAAACACAAGAGGAATATACTGGAAGAGGGAGCAACAACCGTGGAATTTATAGTAAAGGGTTTAGGTGAGTTTATCTTATCAGTCTTTACTATAAATTGCATATACGGACCAAGTGATGCTATAACTACCATATACCATAACATCAGCACTCTTTTTCAGCAAGATCCCAAGATTGTTTGGTTAACCTTACAGAAATTCGGACCACATATTCAGAGGTAACTATGATCATACTGTTTTACCTAATTATACTTGCCAAAATAACCGAACAGGTACACACCAATAGTATTCTGACCAACAATGATACTTGCATGCCTGTACTCGTAAATGCAAAACAGAACACATCAACTGATATACTTACCTTTAATACTTACCACCTATTTAGGAAAAGATGTCTTGATAGAGTCGAAAGCACTAAACAGAGATCACTGTTAGCATACCTGGCAGTCATACTCATAAAAACATCAAATGACATAAATCTCAACCCAGGACCTGAGTCAACTGTATATCCATGTGGCACTTGTGACCATCCAGTAACATGGGACGATAGAGGAATAGTTTGTGACACATGCAATCAATGGTACCATGTGTCATGCCAGTCGATGAACACTAAATCGTATAATGAATATGCAAATGACAGTGCACTTGCATGGGACTGTATCACATGTGGATGTCCAAACTATTCAACACTATGCTATTCATTAATACTTAGCACATCAAACCATTACAGCGTATTGTCTGACACCTCTCTTACCAGTCCAACGTCCTCAAGAAATATGAGACCCTTACATGCTGCAACACCGGATAAAAACAAGAACAGAAAACCATCAAAGAAATCTGAAACACCACTTAGATTATTAAATGTTAACTTCCAATCAATCAAAAGTAAACAAGGACAAGTACTAAATCTCATAGAAAGCACAAACCCAGATATCATCTTTGGAACCGAAACATGGGTAGACAATAAGATCACTGACAGTCAAATATTCCCTCCTGGATATAACATCTTCCGGAAAGACAGAAACTGTAGTGGAGGGGGTGTATTAGTAGCTATTAAAGATACATATATAACAACAGCCGTACCTGAACTACAAACTGACTGTGAAATTGTCTGGTGCAAACTTGAACTCATTGGACACAAAGCCATATACTTGAGCTCATACTACAACCCCAAAACATCCAACGAGAATGGGTACTTAGAACTTGAGAAGAGCCTAACCAGAGCGAACAACATAAAAAATGCTTTAATCATCATGGCTGGTGATTTCAACCTACCAGGCTGGGACTGGAAAACCAAATCACTGAAGCCCAATACACAACATATCAACATACACCATAAGTTCACTGACATCCTGGACGATCATGGCTTACA